AAAATTAAATTTATAATAATAATGGTTTTAACACTTTTATAAATAATTTTCAGAAAAAAATTTTCACCACAACATGTCATCCTTCTCGGAGGCAACTGGTTTGAATCTTTTGAAAACATCGGCCATAGAGTTTGTGAATTACAATAAACGCCAAATGAGTCGAATTTACCCTAAAGGCACACGAGCTGATTCATCAAACTACATGCCACAAGTAAATTTGTTATATATTTTTTTAATTATGAAAGACAATTTTTTAAACTTCACTACGTATTTACCAAGGTTTTTTGGAACGCTGGATGTCAAATGGTTTCGCTGAACTTCCAAACATCTGATTTGCCAATGCAACTGAATCAAGGAAAATTTGAATACAACGGATCCTCGGGCTACCTACTCAAACCAGATTTCATGAGAAGAGCCGATAGAAGTTTTGATCCTTTTGCGGAAAGTCCTGTTGATGGTGTGATTGCGACACAATGCAGCGTTCAAGTAAGAAGATTCTTTTTAACTTTTCTCCTTTGAAGCTTCTCAAATCAAGTAGTTGCCAAAAGTTTATTCAATAATGGTGTTGTTGTACAATATCAAAAAAATGTTTTTAATAACACTTACTTAGAAAATCAGCCAATTCCACAAAATAAAAATGACATTTTTCTTGCATAATTTTTAAGTAGTCTTACGACTTCCCTGTTAAAACACCAAGTCTTTAGCTGCTTTTCGCACTAACCAAGTCGATTCATATTAATCATAGGTGATAGCCGGTCAATTCTTGTCGGACAAAAAAGTCAGCACCTACGTTGAAGTTGAGATGTACGGTTTACCCACCGACACGATACGCAAGGAGTTCCGAACACGCACAGTTCCTGCCAATGGGCTCAATCCAGTATACAACGAGGAGCCTTTTCTATTCCGTAAAGTTGTACTGCCCGATTTGGCAGCCTTGCGCTTCGCCGTCTACGACGAATCCAATGGCAAACTACTGGGACAGAGAATTGTACCTCTGGATGGGCTACAGGCTGGCTACCGGCACATAGCACTAAGAACCGAGGCCAACTTTTCCATGTCTCTACCGATGCTGTTTTGTAACATCGAGATCAAAATTTATGTGCCTGATGGCTTCGAAGGTGAATAGCTTTGAAACCTTCATATTTTTGTAGACTCAATTCATGTTACCATTTATATTTATTAAAAATAACTATTAAAATGTAAATTTAATTTTTTCCATCTCAAGAATTCATGGATGCCTTGTCTGCTCCAAGAGCCTCAAGAAAAACGGAAGCACTACCACCAACGAAGATACGTGGACTTGGAATTGAAGAAAACGACAACAAAAATAGCATTGAACCTATGCAGTCACGATTCCCAGAAGCTGCGAAACCTAGAGGTAGTTTTTTCAAAGCTTACGTTTGAATTTATAATGGTATTTCGGAAATTTATTTTTGAACAGTTAAATTTTCATTCATTATTTTACTATCTGAATCTATTTGTAGAAGAATTTAACTTTGAGCCAGTGACTATGGAGACACTACGGCACGAAAAGGGTTACACAAAAGTAACGAGGAAGCAGCAAAAAGAACTGGAGTCTCTCAAAAGAAGGCATCAAAAAGAAAGGTTTTCTGTGCAAAAACAACAGTGCAGTTCAATAGAAAAACTCATCAAGGGAAAAAAGTGAGTATTAATATTTTCAAATAACACAACTTTTCATTAGGAAAACATTTAGTTGCACAATTTATTGGCTTATTTATAATTATGCTTTGTATCAAATGATGATTATACCTATGTTTTTGGTTGTTTTTCAACATGATAAAAAAAAACTTTTATTATACATTCTATCTTTATACTAAGATGTTCGTGATGAGAAATAATATTTTAAAGTCCTCTGAATGAAAAAATTTTTTATTCAAAAATATAATTTGCATGTATTTTATTTTAAATGTATTGTTAAAGTGATAAAAAAAGACTATTTGTCTCGAATAAATAATTATTAAAAGAAGGGGCTAGTACAGAGATAGTAAAATACGTAACAATCTGGTATTATTTGGCTTTTTTTCATTCGATAGCTCTAAAAAAAAGCCAAAAACTTATGGGTTCTACTAAAATGGCTTGTATATACATACATCTAAAAAATTTTCTATATTACAGTTTTACATTTTTTCATCATAAACAAAATGTTTTTCAATCAATCGGAATCTAAAAATTTTTTCATAATTTTTAAATACAGAAAATTAAGATAGGTATGTACAAATGTCATCATTCACCCTCAGTCCCTAACCAAGACTAAAATGAAATTAATAATTTCCATTAGTGCACTGTCCATTTGTTGACTCAGCATATTTGTGAAATTTCAGTCAAGCTGAGCTCTCACGCGACCCAACGATCCGACAAGCTGTTGCCGAACAGACGTCCCAATGGTCTCGATTAGCGGAGCGCCAGCGCCGAGAGGAGCGGGACCTGGTCCAAGCTCACCTGGAGGAGCGAAAGATTCAACTCCGCAAGCTCTGCGTCGTGGTCCAACAGACGCAGCAAAAGCAGTTAAACACCCGTCATGAGAAGGAAATCAAGGAGATGAATGCGAGACAAGCTAGGCTATCGGTGGAGAGCATGCGGGAGGTCATGAACGACAAAACGCTCAAGTCGAAGGGAATCAAGGAAGGAAGGCTGAGAGAAAAGCAACAGAACAATACGAAGAAGTTCATGGAGGAGAGGAAGATGGCCCAGATCGTGCAGAACAGGGAGAAAGAGAAACTTAAGACCATTCATGAGAAGCAGTTAGAAGAGGTGCAGAAGGAGATGAATGGGGTAAATTTTATAAAAAGTTTTCTCAGGTTTTTAACATAGTTAATTGAGTCAACGGGTATGAACATTTTGTACACTATTTACTTATTTTATTTATCACACGTGCATCTCAAGTCACATAAGCCAGACAAATAGATTTTTTACAAAAATTTATGGTAATTAGTTCTGAATTTAAAAAAAATTATGAATAAAAAAATCAGTTTCCTCTACCTTAGCCCCCGTTATTTTCGACCTTATTGTTGAGCTTATGCTAAATTTTATTGTGCAATACGGTAAAAATGATCGTCTGCTTAAAAAAAATGTCCCCCCTTGAGTAACTGAGCTATTATATAATTTGGCACTAGAATAAGACCTTATGCTCTTCTTGAAAAATTTCAGGTGGGTATTATGTGATAGTAGACAAACAAGTTGTTAATTCGAATATTTTACTTTAGGTTTTTATCTTTAGTTAGAAACTTTTTTTTTGACGACTATTACCATTTTTTACTTAAAAGCTCACTAAAGAACATATTAAGTATTCGTATAGTTTATGTACGTTTAATAAAATGTATTTAAATAACTATGATCAAGATAAAAAAATACAGTTGATCAAGAACAGGAATTTATGTTCTTTGAGTGAAGTATAAGCTTCTTTTGATTATTTATAAGTGTTTTTACAGGAATTATCATATTTGTTTCAGATAATGGATATGTATAAAAATGAAGAAATGGAATACGAGTTAGGACCAAAGAAGGAATTTTATGCATAACCCTTCAAAATGGCTGTTCATAAAAGAGTTCTTTTGTAGAAAACCTAATGAACTAACAATGGGATCAAGTTTTTTCAGGAGACAAATACATAAATAAATAACTTTTAAAAAACTTATTGAAATGCACGGTACGAGAGACCGAGCCAGTCGGTATAGAAATAGTGGACCCTCGTTTCCGTAATATTTTTTATACAAAAATTTATTTCGATAATTCCAGAGGAAATAAAAAGAATTATTAATACAAGGCTTACATAGTTCGTAAAGTGAGCATGTTAAATTGGATAGTTTAGGAGTCGTAGTCATATACAAAAATGGATCTAGTCATGTTTTATTTTCTCCGTTAAATTGTAATGTTAATTAGAATCTAGAACATTGGTATTAACACATAAGTAAAAACGTAAATTATTATTTACACTAGTGCTAAAAAAAAATATACATATATATACACATATGTATGTAGAATGTATATATAGTGGCCGTAACTTTACTGGTTACGGCGTATTTTTCTCGATTTTTTATTGTCTTCTTGATTGTCTCGACAATTTTCTTAAAAATTTTCAAGCCAGTCAAAGTACGTGAAATATAATAAAATGAAGTAGCAAACTTTTTTCCTACGTTGTAGTTAATCATTTCTATCAGATAAAAAATATGTGTGTGTATTAGAAAAAAAATTGTTTACCCAGTATTTCAATTAGAAAAATTTTCAAACATGGCGAATCCAATTCTATCGGTTCAAGGATTACATATTGGTATTTGGATTTATCAAATTATCTTATAATAATTAAAAATTTATTTTTACAGTTGTAAGTAAAAACTATACAAATGTTTTGAGCTGACGATCCTCGATAAGAGTTATGGTGAATCAAAGTAACAAATGTATGTGAAGTAATGACGACCGTATTAGCGTCGTGTACACATTTCCGTTATTAAGTTTGATAACTTTATTAAGACAAAGCCAGAAAGATAAATAACGTAGTTCTAAAAATTTTTCATTAAATGTTTAATTATAATATAATTTTGGACAAGAAAAATAAAATTCTCGATATTTTATGATAAACTAGAAGAATTAATATCGTATCGAACTTTTGTAAGTGAAGTTTGAATACTAGTTATTCAGCAGTAAAAATCACACTTTCTCGTATATTTATTTTTTACTTAATAACCTATTATAATTGCTTGGATAGTAAAAATAACTTGTTAATCATGGCATAATAATTTTATGCTCATATATAACGGTACAAGACAAAGATGCAGTACAAACCAAATTATGTTTATATACTGTAAGATTATCATTGTATATAAAAAATCCTTGTCAATTTAAATAATTCAAAGCTAAAAAAAAACAAAATGAAATGAAGATCACGACAAACATTACACTATTAAAAAAAAGACATATACTTATTCATATGAAGTCTTAAAAGTACTAATAGAAGTCTTTTCATCAAAAATGTAAGAGCTAAAAATCATATAGAGCAAAGAGATTTTTATTGACAAACATCTGCAAGTAAACAATAAGTAAAGAAAAAGCATTTATTGAAAACTAAGTTTACGTAGGTTTCATCTAGTTTGAATGTTTAAGTAAAAACGCTTAGATATTTGCTTTCTTGTAAAATATTTGCAAAGATTGTATCCATGGTAATCTATCATTCTGATCTTTTGCAATCATATGAATATAACAATAAATAGTCGCACTTTTTATATTGTACTTTATTTTTGTTTATTATCTTAATCACATTTATATTTGAAGTTGATATGATAAACCAAAAATATAGTTTATACAAATTTTACTAGAACTGTTTACTAGAAATTATACATGATTGAAAATATAATATTAATANTTTTTTAGCTGTCTACATTCTGAAAGTGCAAATATCATTGTAAAATTTTTTGGTATTTCTTACATTTTTCTCGCTCATCGGTGTACGGCAAATTCAAGATGTCGTTCATTTCTGCGTCAAGACAACTCACCGTCGTACCCAGTGTTTGCACAAACTTTAGTCCGTCGTTGAGGTTCGCACTCAGCAGTTAGTCCACGATTTATTAAGACAGAAGAACCATTGTTTTGCTTGCTCCATATTTGTTACAGCATCGACAACATCGTTCCAAGGAACGAACCCAACAAAGAAGGTACGAAACTTACTTCCTATTGTACGATGAATTTTTTTTTCGACGACGGATGAATTTTTGCATTTGCGAGCTTTCTGAGACGGTTGGCATGTCTACACAAGCGTCTTTTGTGCAGCGCAGTTATCGCAACATTTCCTTCATGAATGTATAATACGCACACGCAAATATACTTAATTAGCGTCTTATCGGCTTTACGCAACAGGGCCCTCTGTTGTTTGGCGTCACAATTTATACAATTATTTTAACAGTTCTTACAAACAAGCTAAGAACTCAACTTAATAGTTTTATATATAAGTAAACGAATTAGTTACAAAATATGTTAATTACGTAGAACTTCTCCAACCCCTGAAATTTAAATTAAAAATTGAATTCTATGTAAATAATGGAGAGCACGTTTAATTTTTGAGTCGTATCAACTAATAAAATGTTAGTGGTATTCATGCTCAAAGCTGTATCCATACTTGTCACTGTTGTAATGAGGTACAAGCACTTCGACGTTCTGAACTTCGCTGTTGACATGTGGAACTAAAAAAATTTTCTTTGAATACTAAATTAAGTAAATAAATACTGAAATTGTCTTTGTAAATACAACCCTAATATATAAGTTAGCAGCAGTTCTTTACATTTCTTTCTAAAGTCTTTTTTATTCACGATTTCTTGATATAAAACATTTATTTCGTTATAAATCGTAATAGTGTCTAATGTGTGTCAATCATAAACAAATATGAATTACCTTTTTCCAAGAGTAAAATGTTCCGTAAGTGATTTTCCCCATTAATTGGAATAAGATTTACTTCAAGAGGCACTTCGAGATGATCTAAAACAGTTAATGTTTTATAAATTTTTTTTTTTTTTTTAATAAATAATAGAAATGTTCATTTACTAAAAAAGTATTTTTATGAAAAATTTTGAATAATGTAAAAATTATTTGGCATTAATAAATTCACATAAAATATGTCTCCTGAATTACTATCTAAATCCTTTAAGAGAAAGTATTACAGTTTTTATTAATAACAATTTTATTATAAACACTTTGATATACTACAAGCTGTATTTGGAATTCGTATCAAAAAGAACAAGCCACCCAAAAAGTATTGAAGCAAAAAAATAATTTCTAATAAATAAACGTCAAGCAACTACCAGTGATGTATTCATGACCCGCGTAATGAGGTTCCCTTTGTACATGAATCACATGGTGCTGCTCCTCCAGCACATGATTACGATGATGCTCCGTGGGAATTGGCACCGATCTGTAGTTCTCGACTTGCACATTCTGGTAACTGGTAGCCCCGTATCCATGATGTATAGAGTGAAAATTCGGGAAAGCCGGGTGAACGACGCCTCGAGATATACCTGCTGCCGCCTGTTCAAAGGCCAGTGAGGCAACGAGACACAACTTACAGGATAAAAGAGAAATAAATAAATACCAGCGTGGAAGTTAAATTGATTCTTCTAATGCGCAGGCATTATGTGTATACATGCATCGAAGTTGTGTGTTGCTTTTGCAACACGTGAGAAAAAAAACGTAATATGAAAGGAATAACGTGCAACCCGAAGACAATGATAATAGTAGATCTCGTTAGCTGATTGCTCGTGTGCTCTAGGTATTGCGGCTTACGTGGCTAATTACTTTCACGCGGCTGCTGGGAGTAAATTTCAACTCCTCAATTAAAAAGTTTTAGCAACACAGGATGCACTATTTCATTCGAAATTCGAGGTTGGAAATTAAAAAATTTCGAGTACTTTCGATCAATGGACTGAATTGAATGACATATTTCAATCAGATTCGTAAATTGATTTGAATATTTAATTATATAAGACCATTTATAAAAAAAGTTATTAAAAATTATAGATGTACAGCTGTTAAATGAATGGTAGCGGGCTCACTAAAATTTTGTTAAAATATTTATTAAATATTCATCAAAATCTTTATTTTATAACATGAAAATTCCTTTTTTTTTCTCAAAATCAACTGTTGTTTGGAATTACGTAAGCGATTATTGATGTTTGGACTTAATAGAGATATCTCCTAGTAATGTTTCAGCATTCATATCATAACACACTTAATGAAAAATTTTAGTTAGCAGAGGTAAATTTTAAAACAGTAACATTAAAATTTATGTATGATTGTAAAACCATTAGGTGTCATCGACTTTTTTGTTTACTGATTATATGTAATCACCACAGGTCTCGCAGTTAGAAATAAAAAGTTAAAGTAACAAAACACAGTAGCCTAATTATTAATATTATGCAATCAAGTATACGCCTACTTAATGAATCTTTTCAATTATCTTTGTAAAATTGCTTTGCGCAGTGCAGATGTTTTTTTCATAAATTCTAGATGTATCAAAAAAATTTAATAGAGGAGCTGGATGGGTTTCAACTTTTTTTACATCGAAAGATGTTAACGAGAAAAAATAATACACAATATTTTCGATGAAACCCCTATGAAAATACAATTTCAACACGCATCAACAATGTCACTTAACAATACTCACTAGTAGTAGCATCGTGCGCGTGTAAGCTTGTCAGCACTTGTTGAACTTTGTTCACTAAAAAGGAGTCGGCAAGAACAGGGGTTATATATAGTCTTGCTGACGCCCTCCTAGACATCCTTTCAATTTTCGTCACATCCAAGGGGGGAAAAATAAAGAAGCGAAGAGTGGGTGAATGTACCCACGAAAGAGGTCTGTGGTGGCAAGAACACTTCGTCCAAAACAATCGTGCGTTACATGACTTGGATGTACATATTTTAAGTATAGTAGGCCATAAGAATTGTGGATCAGCCATCTGTCATTGTGATGCCATAGATGGAAAAAAAGTCATTCATCTAAAGAAGAGCGTCGTAATTGTAAGACATAGGTTTAATGTTCTTCTCTTTTATGCAACTTCTCATGTACAAGTATGCAGATAACATGTTCTCATTCACTATCACGCTAAGGACACAAAAATGTTTTACTAAAGTTTTAAAATTTATCAATCATGTATTTAATGCTGAAAAAATATTCTGCAAATCTGAAACATTAGCGTCTTGAAACTTTATACTATTGAAGTACTACGATGAACAAGTGTGATTGTTAAAACGGTTAATGAACGAAGTTAATCTTCCTTAAAAATATATTTTTCTGATCTCAGGGCGTTTTTCGTGACATTTTGATGTTTATCGTACCATAGGTAAAAGAAATTGTTGGCGTTGTTTAAGTGTAACAGTATACTTGTATGTGCGAGTCACCTATTTATTGAATACGTATAAATACAAAATTTGGAATTGCATATATTTCTGGGTTCGTAGATCTCTGAAATAAGTAGTAGGGCGATTGAAAAGGAGAATATTGGATGGATTAAATGAGGAACCCCTGGTGAGAAAAATCGAAACTTGTCTGTCTGCACGTATCAAGCTATAAGTTGGAACTGCACTGTTACATATAGAAAATATTTGAGAAGTAAATTTTGGATATTTTTAAAATAAGTATCTCAAGATGGGTTGCATGTATATTTATCAAGTATGGTTAATGCATATAAGTAAGAACTAAATTAAGTGCTTACAGGGACTTGGAAGGATTAAGTGCTTCAAAGGACGTGGAAGGTTATGTCAAGGAAAAGACATTTTGCTGTAGCATAATATTTTCTCCTCTATTACTTAAGAAAATTTTAATAAACTGCATAAATGAACTTCAAATTAGGCATAGAGGAACTACCAACTCTTGGTTTTAAAATAAAAGTTTTAACAGTAAAACATCTTTGTTAATCACAACCTCTATCGTCCTCAGCAGATACGATCTGTAAATATAAATATTGTTTTCTGTCTTTATTACTTTGTGAAAAATCTGGATAATAAATAAACAAAACTTGATTAATGACATGCACAGTTTTCACACAATATTATAGCAGCTTCTCAAGAATGCATGCGCAGTGAATAAAAATAAAATTGTTATCAGTACGAAACGTAGCAGAAAAATGAATGATTCTTAAAAAATCTTAAAAAAACATTTATTATTTTTACATTTTGTTTTGCTAAAAATTCATAGGTTAAAAATAACAAGAGATCTACATAGTAAGTAGTTACTTATTTAGAAAAATAATTATATGATTGAGATTCAAATATGTAGATTGTGTAAGATTCCTAAGTTTATACCGGTATAATGTATAGTAAACCGGTATTCCATATACTACATCTATTAATTAAGCTTATAATGTGGATAAAATATATTTTTATTTGAATCTTTTAACGCCTTTTCTCAGCTACAATTTAATATTTATACAACACAAGCTTGTTACTACCTTAAATTAAACTGCATACTTAATTTAGTATTATAAAACATTCATTAAGTATCTTCTACTTCTATTATTTATTTGTTTATTATGTTGACGGTGCATACAATGAGAGAACCTACTCCTATTTGATATGAAAATTAAAAAAACAACGCTTGATATCTAACGGCACTATTTGCTTGAAAAAAAATCTTATGTGAAATATAGGTATTTCTTATTTATTACTAAATGAAATGATTGTATTGAACTTTACATCATTGTTAGGTAAGATTTTTCGATACATATTGGATTGTGCAACGCATAATAAATATATAGTCCTTTCTATTTATCGCATAGCTCTACTTTCGGGACATGGTGTACAGGGTGGTGGTAGATAGGTTGATGATAGACTGGCGAGGGATGGTGATAAACTGGTGCGGGATGATGGTAGACCGGCGAATGGTGGTAAGCTGGCTTTACCACCTTAACAACAGGCTCGTGGTGGTATTGGTGATGCGGTGCGTATGCAATACCCGGGCTATGATAGTTTGGGTAGTGCGAATGGCCATATTGTGGACAGTCGGGCTTAACAACTACAGCTGGTTTTATGAGATTGGCATGGTAGTTGGGTACGTGGTGGTAAGATGGCCTATGGTATAATGGTGCGTAAGAATGGTAACTCGGTTTCTGCACGATTACTTTGGGTTGCCAACCATGTGACAACGGGTAAACTGGTCTGTTCCAACCGTGTCCATGCCCATAGCTGTGCCCATAGCCATGGCCAATGCCGTAAGGGTATCCGTGTCCATAACCACTGCTGAGACCGTAGCCATGGCCATAGCCGTGGCCATAACCATGACCATAACCATGTCCGTATCCATAGCCATGGCCGTAGCTGGGTGATGAGTGATGATAAATCTATGAATTAAAACAACATATTCTATTAAAACCATTTAATTTAAACTAAACATCAATTCTCGATGGTGAAAGTATAGCAGAGTTAAGGTGATATTGATCAGAATTTTGTAACAGATTGATTTCAACTTTCGACAGAGTGACTATTTGTATACAAAAAAAAAACCTCCATAACTCGGCCCATTTTAATACTATACAATGGAAAGATTGTTTAATGAGATATTTTAGAAAATTTTCTTAATGAGATTCAGGTAGTAAATCAATGATGTTAGAACTAAAATTCATAAGATAATTGTGGATTTGGTGACTTTTAATGGGTTATTCTCGATACCCAGTAAAAAAATTTGTGATAATACATCTTTATGATGAGTTTGTTACATCTCTAAATTTTGGAACAAACATAAAAGAACATAGAAATGGAAAAAAAGTAATTTAAAAAATTGAGCAAAAAGTAACGGATTTCGTCTGGAAAAAAAAAAAAAATACATTATGTGCACTTGAGCTACTATAAAAATATCGTAAGGTTGATCTAGATGGACATTTTGAATGATAGTACTTATGAAAAACCAGTTTATGTAAACATATTATGATTATCTAGAAGAATCCCAAAATAAGTAGAACCACCTCGAATCTCTCTAATAAGTGCAGAATGTGCACTTTTACTGCGTGAAACTTTTTAATTCTGTCTTAAACTCTAATGCAAGTAATTTTATTTAACAAATGTACAGTTAAGATAATAATTACCGGCTGATGGTGGATTGGCTTCACTACGACTGCTGGTTTATGAATGTAGGTTGGATGATGGACAATGGGTGCTGAATGATAATGCGGCCAGTTCTGCGGACATGGCGCCGAGTGATGGTAAGGGTAAGAACCTCTCTTTAGCTTCACAGTGTCCATTGCCATATCGTTGATCTTGTCTGACATCATATTTTTCTCCATGTCCATTTTTATGATGGAAATAGAATAGACGCTCGAGAGACATGATAGAAGAATTATCTATAAAAATATTGGGGTTCTAGAT